ATCAGAATATTATGTAACTGGAGGAATTTATAGTCCAGGAATGGCATTTTTCCTCAGCAACATTCATGATCCATCTAAGTAATTGGAAGAATCAATAGTTAATTCCTCTTTAGTACACCAAGGTCATATGGGTACGTGCAGGGGTTAGTCACCCTTCTGGCAATGAAACAAAATCTTTGAGGCAGTCTGGTGAAAAAGAGGGTAGGTGGTCGGCAGAATGGCTCAGCTGGTAAAGGTGCTTGCTGCCAAGCACCCCGATGACTTTTCCCTTGTCAACAAGCTTGATGACTTAGTTAAGTCCTTGAAAACCACTCGGTGGAAGCAGGGAACCAGCATCTCCAAGATGGTCCTCCGTCTTGGACCTCCATGTTACATCACACACATGTAGGCAAGCACACACAAACACACACACACACACACACACACACACACACACACACATGCGCACACGCACACGCCTCTGAAGGTGTAGCTTAGTGGTAGAGTGCTTGCCTAGCATACAGGAAGCCCTGAGTTCAATCCCCTACACTGCAAAATGAAAAAATGCAAAAAGTGAATTTCCTATCAGTTTTGGAGACTTCAGTCCATGGTTGATTGGCTGTGTTGTCATGGTGATGTAATACATCACTGCACGGACTGTGAGGTAGACCATGATGCTTGCCTCATAATAGCTGGAAAGTAAGAGAAGAAGAACTCACAGCCCCCTTCAAAGATCCCCAGAATCAGCTACTTCAGAGACCTAGTACCTTCAAGTAGCCCTCAGTTCTTCAATGTCCCACCACGCCCAGAGTGCTCTACCACGTGGCATTCTGGGATCCTGGTTCAGGCCACAGCAGTGCAGATTTCTTTTGCAAACCTCACTGTTCTCTGCTCTAGACAGCTGCTATTTTGCTCTCACATCAGAAGTGGATGAGCAATGTGGTTCACTGCATGGGCAGGGTCTCATGGTACTATTACTTTATACTTTACATGTATTACGTTGTTATTTTAATTGACATTTTCTAATAGTAAATGATAATTTTTCCATATACTTACCTATGTGTCCTTTTTTTTTTTTTAAGATTTATTTGTTTATTTTGTATACAGCATGTATGACTACAGGTCAGAAGAGGGCACCAGATCTCATTATAGATGTTTGCGAGCCACCATGTGGTTGCTGGGAATCCAACTCAGGACCTCTGGAAGAACAGTCAGTGCTCTCAACCTCTGAGCCGTCTCTCCAGCCCCCCCAATGTGTCCTTTTTAATGTAGAATTTTATGACTGCGTGCGTGTGTGCGTGTATGTGTGTGTGTGTGTGTGTGTGTGTGTGTGTGTGTGTGTGTGTAGGCTAGAGGTAGATGTCATCATCTTCCACAATTGCATCTTCACCTTGTTTTGGGGGGACAGGCCCTCTCAATGATCCTGGAGCTCTCTGTGTTGGCTGGGCAGGTAAGCCCGGGAGCCCCCGGGATCTGCCTGTCTCCCCTCTTTGAGCTGGCCACCAAGCTGGACTTTTTACATGAGTGCTGGAGAGCCAGACTCTCGACTTTGTGCTCATGCAGCACGTACCCTATCCACAGAGTCATCTCCAGCCCCCTTTGCACGGTTTCTACGACCTAGGCACAAGTACTTCCTTAGATGTCTGATTTGTCAGCCTTTCCCTTGGCCCAGAGCGTCTGTGTATTCCCGATAAGGTCTTTCACAGAGCCAAAGTTGTTCATTTTCATGAAATGTATTTAGTTCGGTGGAGGTATATGTGTGTTTTCAAAAGTTTTGAAGACTACCACTAAGTCCACATCCCAGTACAAGTTAGTGTACTGTCAGTGGTTTGTGAAGATGTGAGAGATGTGTGAGTTGATTTAGGTTTGCACTGTAGAATTGCTCTTGCTCCAGCGTAATTATTGGCAAAGCTCTCTTTGCTCTTACCCCTTTGTCATAGTCCTGTTTCTGAGGTGGGTATGGTGGCACTTGCCTGTAGTCATACTACCAGGTGAACAACTGTTTGGCCACCACCAGACAGGACCTGGATCTCCAGAAGCTACAGCCTGGCCTAGACCAAATGCTAAATCCTAGCTTGTAGCCCCACAACTCTTCTAGAATGGTGCTGGCTGCCTGGTATGGAGAAGAAGTAAGAGGCAGCGAGACTCCAACAGCCTCACACATCCCTGTAGTGTGTGGGCTCTGGAGTCTTGCAGGTTAGCCTGATGGTGAATCTGATATGCTGCCCTAGAATAGAAACCAATCAGAGGTGTTCAACCTCAGCATTGCAAGAGGCACGGGTAGGGTACTAACTACTCCCAGTAGGTAGTAAGCATTACGATATAAATTCAGGCAAGGGTCTCCAGACTGGAAAGAAAAGCCAGATCCAAGTGTTCATTCTTTATAAGGTTATACAAACTTTGCAGACTGAGTTACAAGTAAGTGGATGGAAAAGGGAAAGCATAGTCACATCCAGATTCATTGTTTGTGTGTGTGTGTGTGTGGGGGGGTGTCGCACAGAGGCCTCATTCATTACACAGGGATGAGTGGTTGTGAACACTGAGGACTATTGGCACATGGCGGATGGACCATTGGCACATGGAGGAAGGACCATTGGCACATGGCAGATGGACCATTGGCACATGGCCAGAGGAAGGAACATTGATAGAGAAGACTATTGGCACATGGACGAAGGACCTTTGGAATGAGAATGTGGCTTTTTAGGGACCATGTGCCAACTGAGATGTCACTGCAGGTTAGTGAGGGGAGAGAGAATTCTTGGCAGGGTTGGGCAGTAGGAGTCCTTGAAAAGGATGCTTCTCCCAACAAGCCATAAAGACTTTAAAACGTATTATTATTATTACTGTGCTCTTATGTAGATGGCCCTGGCTGGCTGGCTGGATGTTCACCCAGCAGATAGAACATAGTCATGGTGTAAGCAGGCCTCATTTCTCTCCGCATCATCAATCTGTGTAAAAGGTCACGTAGGAGTGTTTCTTCCTTTAGGTAGAAGAGATGTGTGGACAGGAGAATGGGAGGGAGGAGAGCAGTGCTCTGCTTGTACTGGTATCCCATGATGTAAACTGTAAAAACACGTTGGCATTGAGTATGAAGTCATGAATCCTTGGTTCCTGGACCAACACAACACAGTCTCATTTCCTTATCCACTTACCCTGGTGTGCCTGGGAGGACTGGCTGAAACATGATCACTGGTTACCTGCCAAGGTCCATGGGGACTTGTCAGGACCTCAGGGGCCTGTGGGACATGTTTAGAGTGCCCCACATTGGGACAGTGTGCTTTGTAGTCTTGTTGCGGTGTAGAAATCCCTGGACAGCATAGGACCATTGCAGAGGGCACACCTATGTGATTAGGTATGATTTCAATTGTGAAAATGTCACCATCTTACATGTTAAATAGTCAGGAATTTATTTATGTTTCCTACAAATGGCCAGCTGCTTGGCTTCTTCAAACCAGCTTTCTGAATACCACCATCACACGTGGCAGAGTGTCTGGAGAGGAATTTGTAACGTCCCACTTGGACATGACCTGTGGCATTTGTGTAGCAGCTCAGTGAGTTAAGATTAGTTATTCTCTCTCAGGTGTATGTATGGAGCTCAGTGATTTCCACTCTTAGGGAAGGTGGGAAGCTTTTTCAGTTCCTGTCTGTGGAGCTGAGTCGGAGGGACTGTTTGCTCCAGGGCAGGCTTTTGGGGTATAATGGCCCTGCCTAGAAGAGTTGTGCTTCTGTAGCTACTGGTTCTTATCACACCCCCGGGCCTCTGCATTCTCAGATTTCCTTGTGGTAAGCACAGTGGGGGGGGGGCAAATACAAGGTCCGTGAATAGGCCTGAGACAGGACCATATCTGCAGTGAGGCCATTCCTGGCCACCCCATACACAGTGATTTTTCTCTGCTCTCTGACTGGCACGTCTTATCCTCGTCACAAATTCTCTTTCCTCTTTCTCTCTTCACCTCTCACCCTACCATCCAGCACATTTACTGTTCCTGGTGCATCTGTATGTCCAGAATATAGAATCCTCAATTGGTGGTGTCTTTGTGAGCAAATCCATGTATAAGCACCCAGGATTCGCAGTGCCGCGAAGGGACTGTTGGGTTCCTGCAGAAGGGAGAAATCTTGGGAAGGAATGATTCCTCCTGAAACCTGTCGGGACATCCCTGCTACCCAGACTTGTGTATGTTTTCACACTTACACAATGTAAGGCATGAATATTGGAAGGTACACAGGTCTTGAAGGCGTAAGTCAGTGTTTGGACAGACTTTAATGACTCACTTTACATCAGGTGTTGTTATTCATTGTCAGCCTAGCTGGGTGGCCGGGGAAGGGCCCTCTAAAGCTACCCTGTTACTGTGACATCCCACTAGGCACTTCTTGGCTCTATCATTTGTGACTACTTAGTACCAGCATCTTTTGCTTTGGAGCCTTTAACCATGGTTGATGTTCCAATATTCCTGGTGGCCTGCTATGGCTTAGAGGTGACTTGAGTGCCATGTGCTGGAGATTTGATCCCCATTGAGGCTCTGTTCAGAGGTTATGGTCTCTTTAAGAGATGGTTAGTTCTTTGGGAATGGGGTCTGTGGAAGGGGTTGATGTAATTCTCATGGGATTGCCACTTCCTCTGAGAGAGAGTCATTCTAACAGAGCAGGAGAGGCCCTGCATCTGTCTGGTTTCTCACGATGCCAGGAGAGTATATTTCTGCCATTGTAATACTGGCTCCTTTGGGAACCTCAGAGGGGACAAGAGGGATGGTTCAGCCATTAAAGGCTAGGCTCGCAACTGAAATGTCAGGAGGACATCATAGGTCTAATTGGTGGGGCTGCCCAATCTTTGATGTTCTACCTTGAAACTGTGAAACAAATAAACCTCTAGGTCTCTCAGGATCAGATATTTTGCTGCATCAACAGAAAAGAGACAAAGACATGAGTCCTTTCTCATCTTTCCCACATACCCACACAGATGCTGCATAGTCTTGGGCCTGGTCCCCCTAATTATCTTGCTGTATTCTCTTTCATTTCGGTTCCATCATCCTGCACGGCTCTGTTTTCCATTTATGACTCCCGTGCTGAGGACACCAGATGCCCTGATGCTCCATAGTGGCTTCTTACCTGTCCCATTGGGTGTACTCAAGACCATGTCCATACTGCTAGCTTCAAACTGGCCTGTGCTGAAACTCACTTTCTCACAGCATGTGTTCACCATCACCTTGAACCTGCCTGCCTCTTCTTTCCAAGAGCTTCATAAATCCAAAGGCTCCTGTCCTTCACTGGGGTGACGGAAGAATTCAGACTTGGCTCCTTCACCGTGTCATGCTCACCCTATCCTGCTTTCAAGCCACTCTCTAGCCGGAAGCTGGAGTGGTTTCCACGGGTAGATCTGACTGTGTCCTCGGTGGGCTCCCATTGCTGGGTCTCCATGTGACATTTTCATTCTGAAGGCCAAACCAGCTCCTTTCTGCCTCTCTCCTAGACCAGCTATCCAATGGTCGTGATCTGAGTCTTACACTCAGAGCTTTCCAAGGACTTTTCCCTCTGCTTGAGACACCCTTGCAGGCTGACACCCACACACACTCCACCTAAGTGTGACTTCCCCAGCCTTGCTTTCCCAGCTGCTCTTGTCCAGGTGCCCTGGCTCAGACAGACCTCTGCCTCATGCTTCCTTTCTGGAACATTCTACTCTGCTCAGAGCATGACTGTATGGTTGTCTTTTTCACACTCCTCCCTTTGAGTGTGAGCCACTTGGGCACAGAGACAAGGCTGACTTGGATAGTGTGTTCTTAGTCCACAAGGCTGGTACGCACTAGGTCTCCATTCAGAAAACACCCGGTGAGTGAATAGCTGTTTTTCCGAGGGCGAGCCTGAGGTTTCATAGGTCGTCAGTGGATGCTTTTGGTCTAAATGCCCATACGGGCTGTTGCTTCCTCTGTGATGTCGCTGAGTGTTTATGTCTTTTTTGGTCTGGTCTGCTCAGCTCTGCCCATGCTGCCCTCTCCTGGTGCCACTGCATTTCTATGCTCCCAGCTCCCTTTTGCTGCCAGGTGGGTGGATGTAGCCTTGTATTCTCTCCCGTGGGTTGCTCTCCTGGGCGTTTCTCGCTTGCTTTTTTTCCATTTCCTGGCTTCATTACTGTTTGCAGCACCAACAAATTGTTGGTTTATTTTTCCCCTTATGTCCTGGTTAGATTTTATTTATTTATTTATTTATTTATTTATTTATTTATTTATTTATTTATTTATTTATTTTCAACTTGAGACAAGCCAGGGTCATCTGGGAAGAGGGAATGCCAACTGAGAAAATTTCTTCCTTGCCCTATAGGCAAGTTTGTGGAGCATTTTCTCAATTAAAGGTTGACGTGGGAGGGTCCAGTGGTGCCACCTCTGGGCAGCTGGTCCTGGTGGTATAAGAGCAGGCTGAGCAGGCCGAGCAGGCCGAGAGAAACAAGACAGTAAGCAGTGAGTGGTACTCCATGGTCTCTGCATCAGCTCCACCTCCAGGGTTCTGCCCCGAGCTCCTGCCCCGGCTTCCCTCAATGGACTGTGACTTGGGATGTGTAAGCTGAAATAAAACCGTCCTTCCCCAGGTTGCTTTCAGCGACAGTCTTTATCACAGCCACGGAAAACAAAGTAAGATGGCTGGCTGTGTTTCAGGAGAAAGCCAAGTGCTGATGTTTGCAGGAACACTGGAGCGGCAGGGTCAGGAGACAGCATCATGTCTGGTCTTCCTTGTGAACCGCCGTCATGGTTTCCTGTTGGTACTGGGCAGAGAAGTAGGGGTGGAGAAAGAGGGAGAGAGAGAGGGAGGGAAAGATAGATTAAATATAAAGACTTTTTATTAGCCCTGCCTTCCAATTTCCTGTGGACTCTTATGCCTTCCTTTAACACACCACTGAAAATATGAGAATGGTTCCTGGAAATGGAATCTCCATCCCATTTCCACCTTGAACCTTGGCCAGCAACCTTCTTTCTTGTTCCCTTGAGAGCAACAGCAGTCTTCAGGGTTCAGCTATAGATGTCTAATTAGAAGGCCCTCTGGATATGGAAGACGGTTGTTTGGCACAAACTGTTTCGGGGGGCACCCAGGCAGGGGGATCAGTCCCTGGTGCATGGGCAGGTTTTTGGGAATCCAGTGCTTGTGGTGTGATGCCTTGTGCAGCCTTGGTGCAGTGGGAAGGGGCTTGGACCTGCCTAGGCTCAGTGTGCCTGGCTCTGCTGACTCCCGGGACATGGGAGAGCTTAATTTGGGACATATGGAGATATGGGGTGACTTGAGAGAGGGGGCTGGGGGATGGGAGGAGGGAGGAGGTGGGATCTGTGGGTGGTATGTGGAGTGAGTAGAAAATTTCTTAATAAATAAAATGAAAAAAAGAAAGAAAGAAAGAAAGAAAGAAAGAAAGAAAGAAAGAAAGAAAGAAAGAAAGAAAGAAAAAGAAAGAAAACGGTCACTAGTTAGCGCTGATGGGTATAAACTGCCGAATATATTGACATGGACATTATTTTGAAATCTCTACTACAGAGAATCTGTGCTCTCCCCAGGTAAACCCGGAGTTCTAGGAGTTCGTAAGTAAACAATGCCATGCCCCACCCCGGGGTCACACTCTGCAGGTGGACCACATCCCAGGTTCTGTGTTCCGGTCAAGTTGATGCTGTGAAGAGGAGTGGCCACCTCTACCTCACACTAGCAGGAGGCTGCCTTGACTTTGGATGGAGACATGCCGTTAACTACACCAAGGGGAAGCAGTGGGATAAGTCTGAGGGTCTTATTCCTTTCTCTTCAATAAGGACAAGTGAGGCTGTTGACCCACGACCCACTAGAAAGAGGCAGGAGAGAGAGAGAGGGAAGCGGCAATGTGTAGAATGTTCTTCTTGGAGGGATGGGTCTGTCATTGGGCAGGCGGCCATTGCAACTGATTCTTTCCTTAACTTTCAACTGTCATTCTCAACAGACACCACTGATTTTTTTTAAGTGTTTTTATTTTTCTTTTTTAGTTGGGCCATTTATTTTCACAGGTATAATCTTGTCTCACATGGTCACACTTGGAGTTTTCACATATTTGCTGGCATGATTCTCAGATGCTTGTGAAGGTGCCTCAGAGCAGGAATAGCCTCAGTGGTAGCAATCTTTCATGATGCAAAGTTGATTTTTGTTGGAGAACTAGCCACATGTTTGTTGATATCAAGGACAAGGCAGGGAATAAAGACGCAGCCACCTGATGCAGCATGTGAGGTCTGGAAAGAGGTGACCTTGTCAGGGGGACCTGGAACGAAGCACTGGCTGCCATTTGCTGTAGGGCTCTTTATCTATCTATCTATCTATCTATCTATCTATCTATCTATCTATCTATCTATCTATCTATCTATCAATCATCTATCTATCATCGATCTATCTAATCTATCTATCATCGATCTATCTATTTTTTAATTATTTATTTTTATTTCATGTGTATTGCTGTTTTGCCTGCATATATGTCTGTGTGAGAGTGTTGGATCCCCTGGAACTGGAGTTACAGACAGTTGTGAGCTGCCATGTGGGTGCTGGGAATTGAACCCAGGTCCTCTGGAAGAGCAGTCAGTGCTCTTGACTGTGAGCCATCTCTCCAGTCCCTGCTGTAGGCCTCTTAAGTAGGATCTTCTGGATTCTTCAGAGTACACTAGACACCTTTACAATGGTGTGTTTGCTTTGAAAAAATGGAGGAGGGGGCAGGAGAGATGGATCAGTGTTAAGAGCACTGACTGCTGTTCCTAAGGGCCAAGGTTCAGTGCCCAGCACCTACATGGCAGCTCACTACAGTCTGTAACACTGGTACCAGGGGATCTGATGTCTTCTTCTGGCCTCCTTGGACACTGTATACAAGTGATGCACAGATGAAAATCATGTAAAACACCCACATACATAAAATAATAATATAAATTAAAAAATAGAGGGACAAAATAGTAATTTCATTATAGTTCCTCCCAATACATATCCAACAAAGCTTCTGATCCATTGGCAAAGCAGAAGGACATTTAATACTGTGAGCAAACCTTTCCATGTCCCAGCTTCTCCACCTCTAAAATAAGAATAATGGAGTTTGTCTCACATACTGTTTCCTTCTTCATTTTTTAAAATGTGCATTGGTGTTTTGCCATGGGTGTCGGGTCCCCTGGAACTGGAATTACAGCTGTAAGCTGCCATGTAGGTGCTGGGAATTGAACCCTGGGTCCTCTGGAAGAGCAGTCAGTGATGGTAATCACTGAGTCATCTCTCCAGCCTCTCACCTACTGTTTCTAACGGTCAAAGGAGATACCATTTGGCCTATGCTACATGGACAGCGCTGTAAACGAAAGTCATCAGCCATAGTGGAATAGACTCTACTCATCCCCATGGCTGAGTATACACTGTGTGATATAATGCCAACATATATGATTCTGTATGTGAGTGCGTATATGCACATGTGTGTGTGTACCCACACAGTGTGTGTGCACACTCGGTGGTTGCATTTTCTAGCTACCTCTCCTGAGTAGGCAGACATCTGGCATGTGATACTACCATTGGCCAGTAGGTGGCACAAGCGGTCCATCATGGACACTAGCTTGCTTCCACACTGTCTCAGAAAGGGAAGATCTTTTTCTAATCTAGCCAGGGCTTTATGGCAGTGCTTAATCACATGGCAAGGAACATGCAATGACTACTGGTATTTCTGTAAACACACATGCTAAGAAGCAGCTGCTTGCCGGGGAGGAGGGAGGAGAGAGCATTCCGCCAGAGGTCTCCTGAGGACAATCTATATAAGGAAAACCCGGCTAGTTTGTTAAAACCCAACAGCCAGTCAACCTTCGTGACTCATTGAAAGAAACATTTAGAATCCAGAAGGACAGTGATACTACATGTTGTGGATTGTAATGTGGTTGAAGGCTGCCTGTCTGCTCCTCTGTCTTCCCCGACAGATCCAATCCTGGTGTCCGGATCACCTGCGGACTCAGCCTGCCCACGGTACCCAGCGCCTTCTGCACCGACGCATGCGTCCTTGCCTTTTCTGTCATCCGGGCAGCGTGCCGGAGTTAGTCTTTTCTCGGGAGGAGGGTTTATTTGAACTTCATTCTACCATTAATAAAACTGGCACCAGATGGATCTGAAGCTGAAGAAGAGATACATCTCAGCCAAAGAAAAAGTGCCCCACCCAACGATAGGGCAGCAAGGGTCACAGTATGTGTAGAAACTCGGCACAAAAATCTTAACGGTGGTAAAATACGTATAGTATGAAGCTCATCATCTCAGCGCTATTCATTCATTATTTATTTATTTATTTATTATTTATTTATTTATTTATTTATTTATTTATTTATTTATTTATTTATTTATAGATAGATAGGGTTCTGCAGTGTAGCCCAGGCTAGACTAGAGTTTATAATCTCCCTGCTCTGGGATTACAAGCATGTGCCCCCAATCTCAGTCAGCTTCACCACTTGCAGAGTACATAGTTCAGTAGTGTTAAGCACCTTCACACTCAGCATCCAGAGCTGTTTGTGCCTCACAGAACTGGAACCCTATACCCATTACATGGCCTGGTAAACACCAGAGGTTCCCCCAGCCACTAACAACACCATCCTGCGCTCTGTCTCTAGGGACTTGATTACTCCAGGCACCCCATATAAATGGAATCATAGAGTCCCTGTCATTATATGATGGGATATTTTATGTATTGTATGTTATATATTATGTATTCCTGTTTTCCCCTAGGTAAGTAGTATTCCATTGTATACATGATGATTATTTTTTAGTTTTTATTTATTTTTTAATTCATCTATTTATTTTTACATCCTGGCCGCAGCCTCCCCCTTATCCTCCTCTCCCAGTCCCTCTCCCCTCCTTCCCTGTCTCCTCCTCTGCTGTCTCCATCCAGGAAAGGCCACGTCTCCTATGAGTGTTAATAACACACGGCAGATCAAGTTGCAGTAACTAAGCACCTCCCATATATTAAGGCTGGGCGAGGCAACTCAGTGTGAGGAGTAGGGTCCCAGAAGCCAGTAAAAGAGTCGGAGACAGCACCTGTTCCCACTGTTAGGAGTCCCACAAGAGGACCAGCTGCACAGCTGTAACGTGTATGCAGAGGGCCTAGGTCAGTTCCACGCAGGCTCCCTGGTTGTCGGATCAGTCTCTGCGAGCCCCTATGAGTCCGGGGTAGTTGATTATGTGAGCCTTCCCATGGTGTCGTGGACCCCTCTGGCTCCTACACTCCTTTCTCCTCCTCTGCAGGATTTCCAAACTCCACCTAATGTTTGGCTGTGGGTCTCTACACCTGCCTCCATCAGTTGCTGGATGGCACCTCTCTGGTGACAATTGGAGCAGGCACACATCTGGTCACAGGAGATGGCCAGTTCAGGCTGCTTATCCACCACTGCTAGGATTATTTTTTTTAAGATTGTATTTTATTGTTTCATTTGTGTGTCTGTGTGTACATATATGCGTATGTGTGTGCGCATGTCTATGGAGGACACAGGAGGCTGTTGGATTCCCTGGAGCTTAAGTTACAGGTGGCTGTGAGCCACCTGCCGTGGGTACCTGGAATTGAACTCCTCTGCAAGAGCAGCAAGCATTCTCCGCTGCTGAACCTCTCCAGCCCCCGTGATGGTCAATGTTGTATGCCGCCTTGACTGGGCTAAGGGGTGACCAAATAGTTGGCAAACATTGTGTCTGGATGTAGCTGTGAGAGTCTCTAGATGAGACTAATATTTGAGTCTCTAACTGAATAAAGAAGACCCACCTTCACCAACATGGACAAGAATCACCCAGTCTGCCCAGGGCCCAAATAAAACAGATGGAAGAATGGTACATCATCTCTTCCTGAACTGGGCCATCTATCTTCTAAGTCTGCGCTTCAAGACTCCTGAAATCCCAGACCTTAGACTTGGGGACTCTCCACCCCTGCATCCACAGGCCAGCATTTTAATGGGGCTCACACCACCACTCATTGGCGCTTTTTGGGTCAGACATGGTGGTACACTGCCGTAATCCCAGCACCAGAGAAGCTGAGGCATAAGAGTCTTGACTTGGGGGCAAATCTGGGCTACAAACCAAGATCCCATTTCAAACAACAGTATCTACATCAACAACAGAGTACATGGTTTGTTTTAACCATGACTTCCTTAATCCTGGCCTGTTGGCTGCTGGGTGCAGCTGAGCTTTGAAGTGAGTGATTTAGAACACCACCTAATAGCATCTGCAAGTGTGGAATGCAAGGTGGACTGAGAAATAGAGAATCTTCCCTCAAAGCTACAGGATTGAGGTCGTGAGGGCTAAGTGCAGTCTGGGCTCTGCCACGCACAAGTTGGGAAGCTCTGCATGTTTATATTGCCTAGTTAAGCCTTTCCCTCATACAGCTCTTGTCCTGTGAGTTAGGTAATAGCAGCATGTGGAGGGGAAAGGCAGCATGAAGAGGGGTGAAGAATATTTCCCTTGGAGGAAGGAAGAACAGAGTTGGGCCAGGCCCTGGACAAGGATCCCCGGGACACTCAAAGATGGCATATTCTTCACTGAGCCTGAACATCAGTCACCCCACTCTGTTTTCAAATAAATTCATCAGCATTTGATTGCAAAAGCCTGACACCCTCTGTGGCTTTCAAAGGGCTTGTGGGGCAGTGTTCAGCAGGGACCGAGGGTCTTGGCTAGGTTCCAGGGCAGCCCTTTATGACTAGAGGCTACAACCTTTAATTTGGGGGCCACTGTGGTATTGTCGGCATTATTCAGGGTTTGGCTTCAGAGAGTCTGTGCTGGTTTCTCTGTTATTTCACAGAAATTGGTACCAACTGTTGGCATGCAATGTGGTAGTGCTGGCTCTCTTGTTTGCTAACACCTTTCCAGTGAGCAGGGTGGCGGGGGAGCATGTGGTCAGTTTGCTGACCTACACATGTCAGTTGTGGTGCCCTTCACTCTTGCTCAAAACTTTTCCCAGGCTCTGTGCATGTGCCGCATTGGGAAAAATAACAAACCAGCTTTCCGGTGTTGGCCCTCTCAGTAAGAGACGACGTCCTGGCTTGTTTTCTAGAGAAGGAGAAAGAGAGAATCTTGGCATGCCTTACAGGAATGCCGTGTTGCCATGGCTCAGCATTTATGCTTGTTATACCCCTCCGTGTCCAGAGGAAAGTGGTTCCAGGGTCCTTACAGAGAATGGAACAGTGTTTGCATATAGCTTATCCTTATCGTCCTGTTGACCTGGAATCACCTCTGGACTTACAATACCTAATAGAATGCAAAATACCATGTAAATGTGGTCACGTTCCTAAATGAAAATTAGTGGCATTATTTCCTTATTGTGGTATTTTTACTTTTATTGGTTTTCCTTCTTTAATATTTCGCAGTGGGTTGAATCTGAAGATGTAGGAGCTGCAGCTCCGGAGGCTCCCTCCTGCTTCTGAGGACCCCTTTCCCTGAGGGGTGCTATGCCCTGAGGCAGAGGCTCGCAGCCTGTCAGCTCCTTTGCCTTGGGACAGTTCATGTACATTGCTGGTGGATTTCTGAAGATCACTTTATTGCAGACGCTATGAATTCTGGTAATTGTCCATGTATATCATCATACAACCACCAGTGACAACTGAGACACGCAGACTCCTACCACCCCACTCAGGTTCCCTGACCGTTTTTTTTGCAATCCCATCCTTCTCCTGGGCCCCAGCAATCAGGGACCTGTTTTCCATCACTATATTTTTGCCTTTTATAGGATTTCAACGACACCAAACAGTGTGTCATCGCTTGTGTCTGGCTTCTTTTACTCACTGTTCTGCCTTGGAGACTTGCTCATGTCCTCATGAGTTAGTAGCGGATCCCTGTTGATGGCCAAGGGAGATTGCGTTGTAGGAATCTGTCACAATCAGACTTTCCCTTCACAAGTTGGGTATTTGAACAGTTTGCAGTTTGGGGCAATTACGAATCAAGCTACTCTATGTATTTATGAGTGGGCCTTTGTGTGGGCTCCTGTTTTTATTTTTATTTATTTATTTGAGGGGGTAAAATACTCATGAGTAAGATTACTGGGCCACATATAGAGGCACATGTTTAAATTCTGTAAGATCTCACCAAATTTGTCTTCCAAAATAGCTGTTCCATTTGCATCAAAATGGACACCATTAGCTCAGAATGCATCACTGGCCTTCCTGAAACCCATAGCGATCTACCTGTGTGGTGGCATTAGAGACATCTCATAGGATCCCATAAGTAGTTAAGTTACTTAGCTTTGGGGGAAAAGATGGTAACATACCTGTGGATGAGGCGACCTTGTTTTGAACTCTAGGCTCTGTGTGTGTGTGTGTGTGTGTGTGTTCCTCCCATGTTGAGATAATGCCTGAAGGCCAGCGGGGAAAAATATCTGTGGGAAGTTATTAATGGCAGAGACATTTGCAATATCCTGAACGGCCAAGTTCCCGGCCTTTATCTCATGTGCTCCAGGGAAAGGCACAGTCAAATTTAAATCCAAGATGGACGTTGTGGAGCAAGGAAGGGTTCTGCTGGATACTTGAAGTGGGGGTGGAGGGCACTGTCTCTCACCTCTGGTAAAACTGACTCCCAATGAAAAGAAAAGTATGGGGGGCAAAACAGCTGTTGGCATGACATAGATCGAAAGTTCTTGCAAGGCTGGTAGAATCTACACACCCGTTGGGCACGCTGGGTTTGGGCAGCCCCTAGACCACTCTGGCTGACCTGTGGCAACTACGGTTCATAAGTCTGTGTACTACTTAAAGTATGAAGTAGTTGCTTCTCATAGAATCCTTTGGCTTCCTCGCTGGGAAATCAGTTTAAGCTCGCAAACCTCACAGCAGGAGTAGACTCCTGGCCCCCACTGTAGCCCTGGGTCATGTGATTTGTGGGATTAAAGGATGTCGCTTATTCATCACTGAGCTGGGTCAAGTTCAGGTGAAGTTTACTCCATCTAAGCCCGGATGGGGGAAATGTCTTCATGTTTTTCATTCAGAGAAATGACTAGACACAAGAAAATGTCCTGTCCTAAGCTCACAGCCCACAGCTCATCCTTTTAAAGTCTGAGGATCCTGTCTTAATGTCGGGAGGCACTGTGAGGTTCCCTGATACCTGCTCAGCTGGTAACACACAATCCCCAAACTGCAGGTGCTGGGTCTCCTGTGAGGTCAGCGCTCTCTCTCTCTCTCCTCTCTCCCCCCACCCCCTTGTGCGTGTGCATGCGCGCGCATGTGCTCAAGCGTGCAAGGCCAGTGGTAGATATCAGGTATCCCCAGGTTATTTTTTGAGACA